GCAAGGGTAGCGCACAAAAAGGATGCTAGATCAGACGACAAAGTCGATGTCCCAACCGCACCATTTCAACAGTTGGCTACCGATTCTGTGATTCTTGCCATGGGCGATGAGCATCTCGGAGTAGGTTTCGGAGGAATCAAATCTCACCATGTAGTACGCGATGTTTTCTCAGGCGTTCGCCTTGCCTACCCTGTGAGTAGGCGGGACACGCAAGCGCATGTCAAAAACTTCCGCCAGTTCATGGGCCTTCGGGCCACTGATTCGCCGCCAACATGTCTAGTAAAAATGGATGCAGCAGGAGAGCTCGAAGGAGCGGCCCATGAAGTCGGTCTCGTCCCCGAGACAAGCTTACCGAACAGGTGGCCACACAACACCGTTCTGGAGCGCGACATTCGCGAAGAGAAGGAATGCTGTCGCAGCATCCACTTGCAATCAGGGTTGCCCTATTCGTTGCATACGTTTAGTTACCCATTTGCATGTCTCTCCATGTCGTTCGACAGGCCTGCTCCATTCAGCCCAGGGAAAACCCAATGGGAAGCCCTCACCAAGGAGAAGTTCCAAGGGAAGAGATGCTGTTTCGGACAATTGGTTTGGTACAGAACCAAGACTCCTGGCAAGCGCACTCTCGATCCGAACATGGCGCCAGCGCTCTTTTTGGGTTGGAGGGTCGATCCGGGGTTGCGGTACCGTAATGTGGTCAAAGTCATGGACTATGAAGCCTTCCGTAAAGATGGTTCCATTTCCGTTCACGATGTTCCTGAACCGGAATTGTTCGTTGAAGACGGACCCCCAAGCTTTCCGATTGCAGCAGCAGCAGATAGAGCATTGCATGGTGGCAAGACAGAAGGGTCTGATCCCCCACCTTTGCCCCTGCGAGAGGCGCCCTTTGGTGCCCCACCGACTCCATCCGCTGTCAAGACAAAATCCGTGTACATAACTGTTGAGAGAATCATCAAGTTCAAGGAAACGCCAGGTTGCCGTGCATGCATCGGTCATTCCAAGATTCACAGTGCCGAATGCAAGAAGAGGTTCTCCGAACTTGTTTCTGCAGATCGAGCTGAAGCAGCTGCAAAAAGCGCTGCCAAAACTGAATCTAAGGAATCCATTCCCATTGTTCATACGGAAGGGGATGAGGAGCTAGCTAGAGCAATCCACGCATCCGAGCATGGAGAGGATCCTAAGACCGCAGTTAGTGCAGAAGACGTTGCGCATGAATTTGATGCAGCCGAAGCTGGGGAGCCCGCTCTCTCAAGACCCGGTGCCTCATTTTTCGATACCGCGCCAGCGACAGCCGCTACATCGCAAGGTGAAGACTTTTGGGTGTTCAAAGAAAATGCCAACTGTTTGGTTCGCTACCATATCATGCCAAGGCAGAATCTTTTTACCCCAAAAGAGGTCGAGGGTTGCCCCGTTTCCCCAGAAAGATTTACTGCAGCTCGCACCACTCGTGCCGTGTTTCAGGGGGGCAAAGCAGACAACATCCACGATGGTTGGTTTGGTAGCCGACCTAATCGCTCACTTGGAGATGCATGGACCGGGTTCACAGTGTTCAAGTTAAAACCCATTCAGTCCGATTGTGTTATCACCACAGGTGCAGCCGTGATGTTAGACTCCGTACCGCCGACACCTCTCACCGAAGCGTCAAAGAACGGTCGTCCGAACACATTGCCAATTTTTGGCATGCCGTGCAGCGCAGAGGTTGAAGCTCCGCAGCGCAAGCAGTTTGAGGTTGGAAATCATCGTGCCCGCAAGCGACAGGCACGCATTGACAAGTTGCCTGTGATGTTCGAATACGCATGTTCACCAGAGTCCAATATGGGTCGCGTGTTTGAAGGTCTTGGTATACCTCATGTTAGGCTGGCTAAAGAGTTTATCGACCTCAGCGCAGATGAAGGAGAAATCCAGTTGCAGTCGCACATTGAAGGTTGTGACAAACCCAATCTCTGGGCTGCAATCCCCTGTGCATCAGGTTCAGCATGGCAACGCCTTAATAAGGCCAAGTTAGGAAGCCAGTTCAAAAAGAAATTGAAGCAAAAGGTTAGAGAGTCGAGAGAGTTGTTCTCCAGACTCAGACGTCACGCAGAGACTGTCCTCCATCAGGGGGGTAGTGTTTCGTTTGAGTGGCCAAGGGATTGCGACAGCTGGGCTAGGGATGATGTTTCTGCATTCTTTAGGGAATACGCACACGTCTTCAACCCAGCGACCTTCCACGGTTGCGCCCTAGGTCTGAAGGACAGCAATGGCTATCCCATCAAAAAGCCATGGAAAGTCATGACCAGCAATAGCACCCTCGCATCCGCGCTAAGTGCATTCAAGTGTCCGCACGAAAAAGGGTATAAACACTCGCTTGCAGCAGGTAACAAGACCGCAAAGACCGCTTTCTACCCCGAAGGCATGTGTCTCACAGTTGCCCGTGCGCTGTATCCGACAGTTCAGCCCGTTGTGCCTGCGATGCCTGTCCAAGTGCCATTGCCTCTCGATCACCGGGAACGTGAACAGCAGTTGAAACACATATCCCCTCTCTCTGGTTTGGAAGATACAGGACTTGCTGTTGAGTCCGATGAAAAGTGTCACGACATCCTGGAACAAGTTCTTGATGTTGAAAATCTCATCGCACATTCCCTAGGACAAGTCAAGGAGAAGAAGGATCCTGAAATCACCGCAATGGTGACCAGACTCTTGTCACGTGCCGAAATGTTGGCTTCCCCGGAAGCCCTTGAAGCCGTTCGACTTGAAGCCACGGGCCTAGAGAAAGCCGGTGCTTGGGATCTAAATTCAGTCCGAGAGTATGATCAAGTCGCTGCTGAGGCGCGACGATCCAGTATAAAAGTCCATTTCGGGCAGTTGATGTCGCTAGCATCCGTCAAGTTCGCCGAACTCGCGAAACACCTTCAGAAGATGAAAGGTAGGATTGTGTATCGCGGAGACTGTGCGAAAGACGAACATGACGCGGCAGCTGTCTACCAAGAGTTGGGAGCAAATCCCACGAGCGTACAAGGTCTTAATAACTGTCTCGCTTATGGATCCCTGCCAGGGAATTCCACCACAACAGCGGACGCTATAAAGGCTTATGTGCAAGCACTGCTGAAGTCCAAGTACCAAACTTGGATCACACTCCCGCCTGAGCTCCGGCCAAGGTGGTGGCGCGAGCGTTTCGTGAAACCTGTGGTTTTGCTCGTTAAAGCTCTTTATGGGCATCCTGACGCTGGCGGACTCTGGGAGGCACACCTCAAAGGGTTCATTAGTGAACTTGGAGGGCGTGAGGTCGCAGAGTTTCCTGGAAACTTCTGGTTCAAGGAGTCCGGGTTACTTCTCTCGACATACGTCGACGACTTGACGTTGGCCGGCCCCAGCCACCTTCATAAAGACTTCTGGGAAAAGTTAACAAGACTGGTTGATATAGAACCCCCAGAAGACATATATCGGGTGCTAGGCAGGAATCACCTTTTGATAGATGCTCCAAAGGACCCAACTGAACCCGATCTTAATGCCGCAATGGGCAGATTGAAAGGGGGCATGGCGTTCGACATGCGGGATTATGCCCGTCAAACGGTTGCATTATATCTTGAGGTTGCACAGCTAAAAACTGAAAAGTTGCGTGATGCCACCACTCCATTCTGTCCCGCTGGATCCCTTGATCCTGCAGATGACGCCTTGGAGGGTGAGCTCGGCTTCGCCGCTTGCCGCGTGTTGATGAAAGCCTTGTGGCTCGGCCGTTTGGCACGCCCAGACCTGGTCAAGCCCATTGGCGACCTTGCCTCATTTGTTCAGAAATGGTCTAGAAACTGCGATAAGCAGCTACATAGGCTTATCTGCTACATAAACAGCACGGTCAACAGCACGCTAGTAGGCACAGTTCAGGATTCGACTGACGAGTTGCATCTGTCTCTCTATGTGGACGCCGATTTCGCTGGAGAACGAGACGCAAAATCCACGTCCGGAGGATTCTTGATTTTGAGTGGTCCACACACGCATTTCCCCCTTGTGTGGGTGTCCAAAAGGCAGACCTCGGTCTCCCGATCGACAACCGAGGCGGAGATCGTATCTCTCGCATACTCCCTTTACCAGGAGGCGCTTCCTGCGCTCAGCTTGTGGGAGTTGATCTTGGACCAACCATTCCATCTCAAGATCCACGAGGACAATCAGGCGACTATCCTCGTAGCGAGAAAAGGTTTCTCATCCAAGCTACGCTGTGTCCAGCGAACACATAAGGTGAACCTCGCGTGCATCGCAGAGCAGCTTGAAAGCGAACACATCTCGATAGAATACGTCCAAACCGACATGCAGTCAGCAGACATCTTCACGAAAGCGCTTCCACCCAACAAGTGGGACCATGCCATCCGGTTGCTCGGCATTCGTGTTGACCTTCCAGAGAAGCTTGAAGACGTTCGTGAAAGTAGATCCGCTAAAGCAGCTGCCTGGTGCGCTGCAGCATGTCTACAAAATTTCCACAAGTGTGCAAAGCGCCTGGGTGATGCTTGAATAACTTGCGTCAGTCGTTGGGATGTAAACTTGACTTCAAGTTGGCGTGGTAATGCGCCCAAGACACTCCCTCAGTGCCGTCAATGAGGGGGGAGTCAATTATCACGATGACATTTATGGCCCAGAGGTACATGAGGTAGATTCTCATGTAGTCAGTTGCATGTTGTACATTCAAGTCAATGCCTGAGCATGATCCAATCACTGCTTTGGCTCAAGTGCTGAAAACAGCGCGTTGCTCGCGCTAACCCCAAGGTTAAGGGAGAGGTCGCAGTCACGGAGGGGTTCGTTCCTTTTAAGGTCCCGGGTTCCCCCGTTGTTGACAAAACTGTGTTTCCCTCTCCTTTGAGTGCACCTGCCCCAAAATGGTACCATTGGTTTTGACCCACAGCCATATGGTTGTGGCTCAAAATTAAACAGCTAGGGCAAACCGCAGGCTTTACTCTTTGTTTCCGTTTACCAAAGGACCATACAGTATTGGGTCCATGTATGTGAGCCACAGCCATATGTAAAGACTGCAGGCCCAAACAGAGCTACGCCTTGATGGCCTTGGCATTCGGAAGATCGTGGAGATCCCTCCTGGCATTCAGGCATGGCGCGATTGGGAGGGCCCGATGGTCAGATTGCCTCTCTTGATCAGCCCGACAGTGGCGTCCTTCAGCAGAAAGCAATGAGCTGCTTGCCAAACCTAGTTGGTTTGTTAGGTCCTGTCTGTCAGCGGCAATCGACTGCGAAATGTTGGCTCGGCCCTGCGCTGAGTTGGATTTGGTGAGTCAGTGAGTCAAGCAGTGCTCTCACCTCTGAGATTTCGGAATGCCTGACGCTGCAAGAGGTGAACCTGGCAGCCAACAAGTCATCGTCCTGGTTTTTTCCCATGCGCGCCCACAAAGAAAAAGACACATCTGCAGGTTGAGTGAAGCCGCACTTGCGCCTTTGGCAGCCCTCCCAGCACTCAGGGTGCTCAATGTGTCCAGGCCCAGTTGAAAAGTCCCACCCACGGGTTGCGCTGGTTCTTGACATTTGGCCAGGAATCAAGTTCGGAGTTTGACACCTTTTGCCGCGCCCTGAGAGAGAGAGAGAGAAGCAACGGCATG